ATGACTAAAAAGGCAGTGTCATTTTTCTCAAATAATCAGTACTTTTTTTAGAGTCAGCTCAGCAAGAATTTACCAAAGGGCCATGATTCCAATAAAACTTGAAAGGAACCTGTGGACAGCTGTATTATTCAAAGGCAAAATCTGTCACCTATGTAGGATTTAAAAATTGTATCCATCTCATCCTTTTTGTTACAAATAATTTGAAAATCAATTCTTCTATTAACAATTAAAGATGGCAAGTGACCAACCTTCGTGGCAAGTCCCATGCACAAATGAGGCTCTTATCTTCAAAGTACAAAGCTTTACAAGATGACACTGAGGCCTGTTGAATGTTTTTATTTGAATATGAAAGAAGGATCTTTTGCTTCTTTGCTGCCTTCCCCTGAAATTTGCTCATTTTTATCAATAGGAAATGCTATGCCTGTAGGATTGATCTATTAACCATTTTCAAACTGCAGTTAGGTTTTATAGACTTCTAAAATTTTTCTGTTCAGTGAGATCACAGATATTTTTATACTTCTGGCAAAAGAAGAAAAGGTAATGTTCTTGTCAGTGAATCAATCATTTGCTGATTCGAAGGGGCATATAACTCTCCATTAAGAGGAATGCACCAGAACAGGTCCAAAGAAAGAACAATAGTCACACATGCTGGCAATAATAATTCTAGTTTCAACTGTTGGTCGCCTTCCATATGCCACGCAGTGAGCAAATGCATTTTGTTACGTGGACTCATTAATTCCTTAAGAGCCAGTGCTGCCATCACCCTGGGGTATGAATGGAAGGAGTTTTTCTGAGTGCACTTCAAGAAAAAGTTTTAGCCATCCAGTTGTTCATCAGTCTAATAGCTAATTTTGTTTCTAATAGGTAAATGTTTACAGCGCTAAGAAGTCCACACTATGCATCTCAAACCCACAGGTGAACCGCAGGAACTCTGCTCTCTATGAGCAAAGACTGCCATCTTGTGGAAATCACACACTCAACAAAAGAATATCACCTACCCAGCCAGAAAGTGTTCTTGGTCCTCACCAAGAATTTTGCAACTAGTTTCTTGCCTTGTTATGGGCATATATCACTGTTGCTTATAATTAAAGGGGAAAACTCTCCTTTGGGTGTTGTTAAGCTTCATTTAAAGGGCCAGTTTCTCATGAAGATTTGAAAGAGAACTTATCTTTCTGCTGATTATAGAAATCACATTTTACTAACTTACTTTACCTAATCCTTAAGTCAAGTTTTTGTTAAATAAATAAAAAGAGGGTGTGGAAAGACCTTTCTGGTGGAATTTCCAGGAGCACTGGATTTTGTAGCGAGCTTTTATGACAAAACTCTTGGCTCGAGGAGTCTTTTCATTCTCTTCCAACACAATAGCCTGGAAGAGCCTACATTCCTTGGAGTCTGCTGTGGGCTGGTCAGAGCTGCACTGAGAGACCCTGTAGTCCAATTACTATGTGTATCCCTGAGCTGCTATGATGGTAAGATCCACCTTAGAAAGAGCTCCTTGCAACTCCTGGGGTATACCAGAAGGCTCCTAGAGAACTCAGCTCTCTGAACTTAAAAATTCTGCAATAAAATGAATTATTTGATTTATCACCTTTGACTCCTGATAGAATTGAAATGGGTGAAATATAAAATGTAGAGTTTGATAACTGTTCTTAAAGCTAAACTATTTTCCATGTTGAGAACAAATAAGGAGGTAGTAAGTTGAATCATGGAAATCTCAGATACCCCTGAGGAATCAGAGCAGGTAGTCATCAACTCCTGAATGAATGAAAGAATGAGTGGACATGAAGTGAGGGCATTAAAAAAAAAAAAAGAGTTTCACAATGTTGCCTAGGCTGCTCTGACTGGATGTGCAATCACGTTTTAGAAGAAATCTTGTACCCAAGGAAATGCCTAGTAATGAAATATGAAATCTTGAAATATTTGTTGAATGGACAGATGAATAAGAAGGACACGGAACAAATTTAAAAATGGCTTCAATGATAAGGGGGGAAAGTAGGATCTGAGGACAGAGTTCATTTGCTAAAACTGAATTAGGCATAGTCTATCAATAAACATACACCTGCTCTGTGAGGGGAGTGTGTGTGGGGGGTGGGTACACATTCCAGAAAGGGGATCAGGCATTGATCAAATGACTGCAAATAATGCGAAACGATGATAAGTGTCATGAGGGGAAAATCTCACACTTTCACAGACACCTAATAGCAGAGTGGCAGGAGGAGCAGGAGAGCAGTAAAAATGGGTTTCGTTTTGTGTGTGGATAATTGTCAGCCTCCGTATCCATGGGCCCCACACCCACAGATTCAGGTTGAAAATAGTCAGAAAAGAAGAAAATTTTCTGTAATGAATATGTACAGACTCTCTAATTATTTTATTCCCTAAACAATATAGTCTAATAACTATTTATAGACAGCACTACCTTTTATTAGGTAATAAATAATCTAGGGATGATTAAAGGCATAAAGGAGGGTACCTGTAGGTCATATGCAAGTACTAAGCCACTTTATATGAGGGTCTTGAGCATCCTCAGATTTCAGTATCTGTAGGGGAACCTGGAATACATTCCCCATGGATACTGAGAGACAATTGTATTCTCATTAAGCAAGGGTTGATGTCAGTCCCTTTTATGTCTATACATACTTATAAGCACAAATTTAAGAATGATTATTTGTCCCAACATGATTACATTTTTCCTTCAACCTTGAAGGAAAATGGTGCCCTGATTACCAAGTGAAAACACCTAAAGGATTTGCCATTTCGTTTCATTATTAGTGTGGTATAACACTTAACATGAGAGCTAACCTATTAGTGAATTTTTAAGAATATCATACAGTACTATTGTCCATAGGCAAAGTGTTATATAGTAGATCTCTAGATTTTATTCATCTTTCATAACTGAAATTTTATACCATTCATTAGCAACACTACCATCATTTAAGTGGTATTCATGAGGAGGCCAAGCAAGTCACTTTGATGCTACAATTATGTATTTGTATGATCCTAGTACAGTACCAGAAATTCCCACAGGTAGTTCCTTCTTTGGATCAAGACATTATTCCTCAAGTGTATTCCTCAAATTGTTTCCCTGTGTGTTCTCAATATGTGTTACTTGGGGAGGAAAATGGGGGAAGGGAAATGGAAGTGAGTATGGGAAAGGGTGAGTTCAACAAAATCATACAGCCTTACTTTTCCACAAGTGGTCTTGGAGACTCCATAGGCTAGCATCTTGGTATACTTCCAAGAAGGTGTTTCTCAGAGTTAATGACCACAGAGCCCTTTTCCTGCAGAGGCTTTCTAAGTACTAGTGTCCTGGGGAATACACTTTGGGGAATTCTGGAAAAGGAAAGGAATCTATCTGGGATAGAGACTGGAATACAGGAAACACAGAACCCATTATTACCTACAATTATTTTAGTAAATGATGCTAATCAATTAATTGCCCCTGTTGAGAAACATTCTGAGGTGATGGGAAATTGGGCAGACTGATTTCACAAGAAGCAAGGAGGAAAAGCCTAGGCTGTTGGGGAGACTCAAGGGCACTATCAGTCCTGCAGTATCCATGGGAGTTAACAGCTGAAGACCAGCTCTCCAGGATAGGTGGAGACAGAGATTCTCCTAGGGCTGGTCTCACTCTTGATTAAATCAAGTTAAAAGTTGATCCCACCCCAGTGTCCTTCCCTTTATCATTTTCCTCAATTTTCTAGCCCCAGGCTAGTTATAAAAACAGGTAAAAAGGTTATGTGTCACCAAAAGTTGGTGATTTACTCCTTCCAAATTGGCCTAGTTCTTTTCCCTCACCTTTTAAACAGTCTTACCCCAAAGAATCCCAAGACCCAGGATGAGATTACAAATGTAGGACACAGGAGCACAAGGAGATGGCCTCTGGGTCCCTCTCTTCCCACCCTCAGCCATGTCCTGCATGGGACGGTTCCCCTGCTCAAAGCTGTGTGTACCTGAGCTTGCACATCCGTGCTCTGTGCTCACTCTTAACACTACCACGTATGTCTTTGGTACCCTTGTGACAATAAGATTTACTCTCAGGAGGACATCCCTGGGAATAGAACTGAAAGAGCACTGAGCTATTAGGCCAGAAAATTCCAGAGAACCCTGAGGATGTGCACACTCTGGACCGTATATAACCTGGGCCTCTGAGGAGGCGCATTGCTGGAGGGAGGGCAGGCCAGGCAGGTGTTAGATAGAGCCCAAAGAATATTCAGAATTGAGACTAATTCCTCAATGAGAATCACACTTCAAAAAGCTGCAGTCTTTGCAGTTACTCCCAGAATGTGGAGAGAAAAGATGAAGAAGAAGGGCATTTCTTATTTGAATTGAACTACTTCTGAATGCCTCTGGTCAGCTTTTCTTCTTGTTCTCCAAGGTGAGATTTCTTTCCCTTTGGCATTAAAAGGAAAACTAGATCAGTTGTGTGAAAAAACAAAAAATGATGTATTTTATCAACTTCAAACTTGTCCCAAGGCTTTCTTGCACACTGTGTTAAATAATAGAAGTCTTTTTAATTGAATTTCTATGTGTGTAGCATATGCCGGGCAACATTACACCAGCATCTTGCTCAAAGCAGCAAAACGTTCTTCATAAAAGCATTAAGATCCAGAGGATTCCTTCGGTGTGTAGGAAAGGCACACAGAATTGCAGCAGCTTGAAACCACATCAAAACAGGGCCTCTGAAATGGAATTGTAGAAAGCCACTGCAGCAAACCAGGGACAGGAGTATTTAGTTATAATAAAACCCAAAGAAGGAGGAAAGGAGGGAGGAGGGGGATGGGAGGAAGGGGTGAAGATGGGGAAAAAGTCCCGCCGCACAACCTCATCTCTAGAACCAGAGCCATCGTGGTTAGTTTGCTCATAGTCCACCTATAAGCTGATCTGTAGATTCCTGTCCACCCGCAGCCACCATCCTTTAGAGGTGGGGTGGAAATCAGAGCTGTCATGGAGGAGGCAACAACTATGTCTGCAATAACGTGGGTTTTGTTCTTGACCCCAAGGATCCTGGAACTTCAGCAGAGTGGCGACATGGACATCTTGAAGCACAAATGGTGGCCTAAGAATGGCCAGTGTGACCTGTACTCCTCAGTGGACACAAAGCAGAAAGGAGGCGCCCTGGACATAAAGAGCTTCGCGGGGGTCTTCTGCATCCTGGCTGCGGGGATCGTCCTGTCCTGCTTCATAGCCATGCTGGAGACCTGGTGGAGCAAGAGGAAAGGCTCCCGGGTCCCGTCCAAAGAGGTACTTGACGAGCTTCGGCTCTGACTTGAACCCACAAGCAGGCTGTCCCTCCAGGCAGGCTGGCCACGGGGAAAAGGATAATGAATTGGGGGCGGTCATTGTTTCATCTTTCTTGGAAGACAGAAAATAAATTTGAGTGAATGGAGAAATGGATAAGGCCACTCCTAATTTCCATTTTAGGCCCTAGCAGATAAGTGGAGAGCAGACTATAGTATCTCAAAGACTGACAAAGCATGTATCATGAGGCCCTTTGAAATGTTCCTCCATCTCAGGATAGACTTTAATTCAGTGATTTTTTTTAAAGGTTTAGTGATTTCCTGGACCAATTTATAATGATGCTCACCATTTCATTTTATTTAAATTAGTTATTTAACTTGTAGATAAATTACTTATTTGGGTTTCTAAGACTAGACCTGAAAAATGCGATGCTATAGTGAAAAATAATCAGAATTTTCTCATCCCCACTGGTGATCTATTACAGGTATATCTGTAGGGTTGATTTGGGTTCTTTCATGACCCCAAGCTTGCCAGATATAATCAAGGAATCATCCCCAATTCTTTTTTCTCCTCTTCTCCTGAGCCATCTTAGTTCCAGGGCCATATTAAATTTTTCTAGATATATGAAAGAATAATTGCAGAGTTACACATACTGTCTCTTTTAAAGTACCACGTGCCTTGTTTTCATTACAAACGATGGGGTTTGTAACTTACCAGAGAAAATATAAAGTTAAAATAAACTATTTGATTCATTTATGTTGTTTCAACTGGACCAAAAGGTGAATTTTTTTAAAAAAAAATGAAATTACATTCATTAAAATTTCAGAAATTGAAATGGAAGACAACCTGAATTTCTTTTACGATTTGATCTGGTAAATAGTTTCAAAAGAAAGTTTAAACTTTCTTTAACTAGAACTTGGCTAACTGAGGACTGGAGCAAATCCTGATAGGATTTGCTTTAATGCACAGATTAAAATGACTTCTGTTTTTCATACAGATTTTTACACATTAATGTATTATTTCAAGCAGGCTGTTTTCTAAAGTAGTCTAAGGACTCTATCTTTACCACCTTATGTGAAAAATTGATCAGCATCATTTCAAGGAAAAGCTTGGCTCAGCCGAGATAAATCTTAGCTTGCTACCTGTGTGATCATCCGTTCTAAATAAGTGGAGAGCGAGTTAAAAATTAATCAGGTTTGATTGTAGTGTTTTCTTTGTGGAATAAGCTTCTGGTATCTCTRTTGACGTTGATTCAATGCAAAAGACCACATTAATGCAGCATTATAGCTGAGACTTCATATTCTCAAAAATCTAAAAATTAAGGACTCCCCAAGCTCCTTATATTTTGAATTACTATATGTGATATTAAATTTTTGCATTATTATATCTGTTGATGGATGACTATATTACAGTTGCTGTGGGAACCATAAAATTATATGTCTCAACCCTCTAAAGTCTCAGTGATAATATTGCATTAATGGATATTTTTATTGGATTTTAAAATGAGAAAGAAGAAGGAAAAACAGTGATGCACATCAAAATATTTTTCACTGAGGAGCGCCATAACAGCATGATGAAAAAAAAAAAATTCAGACCCCATTCTAACTCGTGACAGCTAATCCAAATCCTAGGAACAAATATTTTCTCCTTTTATGATTAATAGATATTTTTAAACCCTCACAAATTTAATTTGTTGAGCTTGGCTATAAATAAGAGTGATAACATGGACAATTTTCCTTCTTGATAGCTCTACTTTTTCAAATATTGGGTTTTAATACTCACATTTAATGAAAATACTAAGGGAATTAAGAGAGGTTTCATCTTTAAAAATCTGAGGTTTTACTTCATTTTTGTTTATTAAGTGCCTTCTTATAAAAAAAATCATTAGCATAGCTTAAAAGCATCCTTGGTTTAGAGCCATGTACCATAAAACTGACCCTAAATTAAAACTATCTATCATTCCCATGTCCTGACTTGAAGAGGTCTCTAAACATCCTGCTGACCTCACCATATTGCCTGATTCGTATGCTAGATACCTTAAGTAAATGAAATCTCAATTAGAAATTGGTTCTCTTTTTCTCTGTCCAAAAACAAATCTTACATATCGCTGGCCTACAAGAAATAACACTTTAATAGTCATTAATACTTTAGTATGAAATAGCACATCATATCCCTTTTCTCTAAGAATGAAAATTTAAGGTTAGGACTAGATAGTGGAAAGGATCAAAAATCCAATTTGGAATGAGACACTGAAAGGAGAGGAACTGTGTATAAAGAAGAGGTGGAGGGGGTTGGAGGGAGTTGCCAAAACCATACTTTTCCTTCATACGGTTTTGCCGGGCCTATCTTATATAGAATGGTAATCACTCTTCTACAACTCTCTGATCTTTCTAGTTGCATGTGGTGTATGCTCATTTTAGACTTTTCACTGGAAAAAAAATATATTTTTATTCCCAGAAGCTAATAAGCACAGTGCCTGACTCATATTAGGTGCTCAATAAATATTTGTTAAATGAATAAACCCCAAAGTTCAGTTAATTACATGTTTGCTGAACTACTTTTTCCTTTTCTTTCTTTCTTTTCTTTTCTTTTTTTTTTTTTTTAATTTATTTTTTTTAACCATGGAAGCTAGTACTGATGAGAACCTTATTTTCTTTTTCTTCATCTCCAGGATGACAAGGAAATTGACCTGGAGCACCTCCATAGACGTGTAAATAGCTTGTGCACAGATGACGACAGCCCCCATAAACAGTTTTCCACCTCGTCAATTGACTTGACCCCTCTGGACATTGACACTTTGCCAACACGACAAGCACTGGAGCAAATCAGTGATTTCAGGAACACTCATATCACCACAACAACCTTTATCCCAGAGCAGATCCAGACTCTTAGCCGCACACTGTCAGCTAAAGCTGCCTCTGGTTTCGCTTTTGGCAACGTGCCTKAGCACCGAACTGGCCCTTTTAGGCACAGGGCACCTAATGGGGGCTTTTTCAGGAGTCCTATAAAAACAATGTCATCTATTCCTTATCAACCGACTCCTACCCTGGGGCTCAATCTGGGTAATGATCCAGACCGAGGCACCTCCATATGAGCATCAAACAAAATCTCTTCACTGTTTCTTCTTTAGGACTCCCGTTGCAAGGAGCAACTGTAATATTGTGGGACTAACATGGATGTAACTTTAAAAACAAAAATCAGGATTATTAGTAATGATTCTAGTTCTTTCTTCCCACCTTCTCCTTCTTTTCTCTCCCTGTTTATTTCTCTTCCCCCCCCCTTCTCGTATATTTCCCTCCATTTTTTTTTTCATTACTCAACTTGTTCCCCCAGAATATAGTATTCTAGGATCCTATTAGTCTGCTTTTCATATACTGTACTTCAAGTTTAGGAAATGTGCACTGAGTATACTAAAAGTATATGCAGGTTTAATTTTACATCAAGGCCTCTTACATAACATTTCTCTATTTTTAAAAATATAATTGCAATAACTTCAGTCTTTTTACATTCTTCTGCTGCATCCATATAATGCTCCACTGCTGTTGAGTGTCCTTTAACTGTGGACCAAAGGCAATCCCTGCAGTGTTTATAAAACAATTTCAAGACCATTCAGGCCACACAATATCAGAATGCAATTTTGTAGGATTACAAAAAGCCATTAATATGCCAGTCAAGACTACAGTTAAAACTACTCTTGCACTGCAACAGTGCATATGACCTTTATGTGATTGTACAGTATCAAAAGTTTTTTTCTTATGTACAGTAAACTTTATCATATGGCAGAAGCCTCTATTGTGTTAAATAACTTAGTATCTCATATATATATATATACATATATATGCACCTATATAATGTGTATATATATAAAAAGGCAGCCATTGCTATTGCAATTCATTTAATAAAGCTTTAGTTTAAAAAAAAAAGTATTGTATACAGGAACTATGTATAGTGCGGGAGGTCTTTTCAGTTAGAAAAGGCAGGTTGCTTTAATGTTATTCTGACTCGCATTGTTTGCCAACAGAGAATATTTTATACTTTTGTTATTAAAGCATCCAGGGCGACTTAATATTTGTTCCTAGATGTAATTCATTTGAATAGGTTTTGCATTTGTTATTCAGCAGTGTATAAAGCTAACCTTGATAATTTTACTTTTAATTAATTATCTAAATGGAAAATGCTATTAGCTGAATCATATCCACTACAGTACCTAGAGCTCCATAGGAGTCTAAGCATAGATCATAAAAGGTTAAAAATCCTCTTCCAAAGCAGGAAGCCAATCAACATAACAACAGTAGTTGGGGAGGAATGGGAGCCCTTCAGAAGTATTGATGTGGCCTTAATTATGTCATCCATTACCCTAAAGAAAAAAAAAACGTAATTACCACGCTGGGCTCTCATCTTTACCCCTTTATACGTTCAGTTCCATTTGGAGGAGTTATGTATTTTTTAACATTAGTGCCAAGTGTATAGAAGGACAACAGCAAAATCAGTGCCTCTTTGGGCACAACCCTTTTCAAGTAGCATTCTTATCTGTTAGAAAATGTAGAAAGAACTTCATTTGTAATCCTTAAATTAAAATGTGGTAAGTAGGCAGCAAGAACTTATCCTGTGTTTTTACGCAGCCATGCACTTATTTTAAGCTAATTCACTCCATGGCTAGGATCGAGATAGGAATCAACCTATGTGATTTGCTTTAGGAGAAATTAAGAGGTATATTCTTAAGGCATATTATATTTTGATGCTAATTCTGTTCTGGGGAGCACCTTGTACTGTCACTGTTTTTGTACTAAATCTTCAAATATTGTCTACTGTGTAAGGCAGAGAAATTTCTTATCATGCAAAAACCATTTTGTTTCCAGGGTAACAAGTACCTAAGTGCATGCACAACTTGCTTTCCCTTGTAACATTCATGATCTCATTCACAATTCTGATTTTAAAACAAAACAAAACAAAAATCTTTACAATGAGCTATATAGGGACATACCAGATGTTGCAGTGATTTTAGCTATCAACAAACTGTTAACCATGTACAATATTTAAAATAGGCTTATTTTGATGTATTGCCTATTATACAAATACACAAAACATTTTTGGAGGCCTCAGTTATGAGTGGCAGAGCTTTCTGTGTATAATTTGTCTACATAATTTGTCTAATAAAAATGTTTTCTAAACTTGCTCTCATACTATTGAAGTCTTAACTGTAAGATTTGAACATGCTTACTTTCTTTCTGATTGAGCTGAATTTTTCCAAAAACTTGTCTTGAGTTAATTAAAGCATAAAACACACTAAGTTACTAACAGAACTATTACCAAAGTGAGTGGCTTTCTAAAATCCATACTAAGGGCTGTCTTAAACCAATGACAGACTGCATTTCTGCTATTTGGGACAATTTGAACCAACAATATATTCGCCTTTCTTCCTGGATATCTCTATGAGCACTTTTTTGGGGGAGAGATTTATCCTAGTTCACAGAAACAATGCAACCATTATAATAATAACAGGATTGATTGTCAACCAAATAAATACTTTTTAAAATAGACTTTGCTGAATGGTACTTTGCTTCATCAATTAAAAAGAAAAAAAAAGTTGAGAAGATCCATTTACCCTACATAATACCTTCTCTTTTTTGTTGTTGTTATATCAAAAAAAAAAATAAATAAAGGAAAGAAAATTAAGGAGATCTTCTCTATTAAAAAATTTCTTTGCTGTTAGAGAAAGATTCATCACACTGAATCTTTTAATCTAGAAAATCATTCAGACTAAGATTATTTCTGATGCAGTATTCTTTGCTACATTCAACAACATTTTTTCAATTCTTTTAGCTTTTAACTCACTCAATGGGTATAAATATTATTTGGATTAAAACCTGCTGTCTAAAATTCCTTCAAAAATAGTTTTTTAACCATTGAAACTAGGAGGAAATTTTGAGATCCAGACTGCCTCTTTTATTATATGAATAAGGGAACCTACTATGCTAAGATTTGACTTGCCCACATTTTTGATAATCCAAGACTTGAAACTGAACCTTTTTCCTATTTAACTCTGTCATGCTTCAGTTATCTTCACAGGGGTCTTTGTGGACTTTGAATGTAGAGTTGACTAGATAAAAATGTTTCCATTTGCTTCTCTCACCATCCTAGGCTGCAAATCTCTAGGATCTTTCCTTGCTCATTTGGGACCACAAAGATCAACTGATTCAACTGGTCCTTTTGCAGATGGGGAAGCAAGCACTCATGTTGTTTACCCAAGGTCACTGCTCCTGGCAGAACTAAAGCTGGGTCCTGATTCTATAGTACCAGTTCCTCCAGCCATGGTTTGTGGGGGCTTGACCACTTAGACCAGCGTGTTATTTCAGTACAGGACAAATACCCACTAAGATGTCCAGTTTATTCCATTAGTGAGCCATTAAGATACCTGGTTGTCACTTTTACATCAGAACTTATACACAGGTTTTGCTTTAATCCTACATGCATAACAATTGTTAAGACCTCCTTTCTTCCTATATAGATTAACCTACAGGCAATTTTTTGTTTTCTTAATTGTTATTATTTTTTTTCCATATTCTTTAGTTTGGGCTTGACTGTCACCCAAATAAATGCTTTTAAAAATAGACTTTGCTGAATGGTACTTTGCTTCATCAATTAAAAAGAAAAAAAAAAGTTGAGAAGATCCATTTACCCTACATTAATACCCTCTAAGCCACACAATTGAATAACAGATTTTCACTATTTTATAATCCAAATTTTCTGGTGAAAAGCCCTCTGGATTATGAGTACAGTCAACTAAAGCAGAGCTAAGAGTTTATGTACTGGTAAACATGTGTTTTCTCCTTAAGTGTACACCTTGTGGTGATTGATAAAATACAATGCACTCACTAAAACTGGGCTTCCTTCTAGAGTATTTTTATTTCTATATCAAATCCTATAACCAACCCTTGTGGCCATGATATTAATAAATGGATAACAATTATTGCCATAATTATCATCTCAACAAATTTTAACAGATATCTTCTCAATAAATATTTTTAGACACCCTGCTATGAGGTAGTATATCTGAGCTCCCTAGATTGACATGACTTTCTGGAGACTGAATTAAAACTAGAGCTTGTGTTACATTGTATGGATTGAGCTAGATCCGTGTCTCCAGAGAGCCGGCTGGGTGACTGCCCCTGGGCTCTGCAGTCAAGGGTGGCATGAAGGAATGCCTGTGCTCAGCTCTGGGTTCGGATGTGTTCCACCTCTTTGCTCTGTCCTTGCCCCTTACCCACACACAGAATATGGAAGCCACCTTAGAGACCGTCTGAGGTGACATGTTGAGTCCCCACAAACCAGTACAGTCCTTTCGGGACCTGGATTGTCCAACTGACAAGAGCAATCCATCCTAATAGTTCTCACGAGCAGAGCAAGAGGCAGCTGAGTGGGCTTCCTAGGTTCAGACCCTCTCCACAAAGAAGACCTGGAAATTTCCCCAAATGCCAGGCGAAGAGTCCAAAGTTTCAGAAATGTGAAAATTGCCATAAGCCACAGGCCAGCTACTACCTAACCCTGTATCCTTACCAATACCTGCACACCATTCAGACTGACACCTCCCCGCAGGTGTCTGTGTCAGAACAATGCCACATTAACTCATTTTCTATCCCTGCAGATCTAATTAGTCAGGAGAGTTAGAGCTTTGTAGTGTTTCAAACTCCTTGCTTCAAAGGAACTGAACAATCTTATTAGGGCTCTTTTTCATATTGCAACTAAGCTTCCTGGCTGCCTTTTCTGTCCTTTCTAAGACACGGGATGCAGTGCAGCCTAGAAGCCAATGAATGTGAAATGGGCCCCAGGCTGCCCACTGTGACCACAACTTCCCACCCACTGTGCCTCCAGAAGACTAGAAACTTCATGGCTTTGCTCTATTGTATAGGGCTGCAGAGAGGTACGGAATGGTCACCTGACACATGATGCCTTCCACCCACCACAAGGAATGGAAACTGCTCTCTCTCTCATTTCCACACCTGAATTTTCCAGATTCCCATTTTTTATAATATTCATATGCTTTGTTTCCACATAATATTGATGGCAACACAAAAATCGCTCAAATTTGAGTGCATTTTCCCTATCTGAAGTCTCCATCATGGCTTCCACACAATTTAGGATAAAGTATTACCTTTTAACTACTGTTATACATTTCCCAGAATTTCTAATTTCTTCAGAGTGGAGAAGAGAAACTGGCAATGGTATTTGGACACATTCCTGAACTTATGCCATCCATGTGGCAGTGTAGCCTCTGTGAGGCACGAGAACCTGGCTTCCTTTTGAAGAAATCTCCTAGCTTCCCACCTTGGAACTGACAGTACATTTCAAAGGTCTCAAACTATCCATGATGTGATCAGAAATTTCCAAAACTGTCAAGACAACATTAATGCTCATTAATTAAAAACTAATTAAGCTTTTATAACAGCTGCTTTAGAAGGAGAAACATATGTCACAAAATCAAAGAACAATACAGAATGAGAGACTAGATGAAAATATGGCTTTTAATAAATACTTTGTTGAAGATTTGAAATGTGAATAGAAGGCAAACTTCAATTTTAAAATTATTATACTGCATTTTTAAATTGGTGCTGCTGAAAACACTTTGGAAGGTAGTTGCTTTAGAAATTAAATAGCTACTTCAGTGGCTATTTCTATTTTTTTGTTGTTGTTGTTTAAATTAGACATCACTATTATTTTTTAAGCTCACACAGACATGCACATGCAAAGAAATCCTGAAATTGAAAAGTAAGTATTTTACAGCTTGCCTATTCACTGTACAAAAGATTAATAACAGGAAGCCTTAAAGAGCTAGTTCTTCTAATATATAATAAAACGAAGTTCAATTTGTAAAAATTTGAATTCAGAACACTTTCAGGATCACAACTATTTCCTGGAGCAAGGGATACCAGTATCTATCTCAGACTCAGTGAATAAGTATATGATGGTTAATATTTAATTCATTTTCAGAATTATATTAAAATTGACCTTAAAATTAATTCTAGCCTTCTATTAACACCTGTTCACAAGAGTTGGCTATAAAATTTGTTGTTAGAAATAAAAACACAAAATGAATATGAAAATGGAGTTCAGCATATCTCATTTGATTTTTTCATGCTAATAATGGCTATTGAGTAATAATATGCTCAAGTGCTCCTCTAGGTACTATTTTAAAAAGCTTTGAAGGTTAGTTGTTCAATGCATTACAGCAGCGTGATAGCTTCCCCGATATCTTTGACACTGAATATCTAACACAGAACTACATTCGCACACAATATTTTCCAATGAGTACAATGCTTTTTTTCAGAATTAACGTGCTTAAAATAAAAATTAGGAACAACTAAGCTGCACAGCAAGATAGTACACATAATTGGGACTCCCAGATTCAGTTCTGTATGACTAAGCATTTTAAAGTGTGTTTATTGCTCACTCACTCAGATTTCTCCATGAAAATGTCACGGTTAAAAGACCATTCACAAATTGAGCAACACATGTGCAAACACTGCTCACAAGTACAGTCTCCAAAGTGTCTGGTGTGTCCAACAATCAACCATCAACAATTGAATTTTAATTAACTCTTAAATGGTCATCATCATCAAATGAAGTTTTATTTCTTCATAATAAAGATTTTTGTCTCTCTCTCTTTTTTTTACAAGTATTAGTATGTACACATAAAGTAAGTTTGCAGGGAGAGAGAATATATTAGCAACAAAACAATCACATGTGATCAATCTGTCCCTTGACAAATACTTTCTGAGCACCTACTATGAATGTGGCATCATAGAGCAGAGCTTTCCTAACTGGTGTGCCAAGACACACTTCCAGGCCACCAGAGGTTCCAGGGTCTGAGGTATTCATCCCCTCATTTCTCCAGGTAGCAAAGTAGACCCCAGGGCTGGAATTCCACCTGTGTATCTCTCTCTCCTAGTGTGTCCCCAGGAACTTCCAAAGTTGAGGAAATAAAAAAAAATGAACATTTGAAAAGTGAAATAAAAATTTATGCATAAATAACATCAACAGACATGAATACACATTCTATCATGATAAAGGATATATCTGTTATATTAGTGGTATAGAGAAATATTCTTTGAGAAGGGGAAAAGAAAAAGGTACCCGTTGGCTACCTTTTCATGGAATAAGTGGAAATTTAGCA